TATAAGAAAAACTACATCCTGTTAGTAAGCGTTACAACTCCATTTCTGACCTTTCTCTGTTTTGGAGCACCTTAAGCCAGGCAATTCTGTTGAATTTTTCTTTTTTTCCATCATTCTAAGTTTTCCATCTGTTAACAAGGTACCAGAATTACAGCAGCAAAGTTAACGAAGCTACCCACTCTGCACAGAATACGACCCAGTATCATCAGCAAGCAGAAATCCTGTCAGAGTCACCTACAAGCAAACAGAATAGTTTTCTTTCTAAAACATTTTGAGTTCTGTCTCTTCTTAACCACAGATGGGCAGCTAGGAACCAAAGGTTCAAACCTCCACGTGACAAAGGCAGACAGAGAGAAACCTGCAGTACTTTCAAATTTTAAAAGGATTCACTCCAAGACAAATTACTGTCTTTATACATATTTTTTTCAAATTTGTTCCTGGTATGAAGCAACAGCACAGATCTAGACCTTGTTTGGTCTCACCCATGCTGTCTTTTTTCAGTTCTGACATAGTTTTGAAGTCCTTGCCTTCATAAAATCTAGCCCTTCATAAAATCGTGATTAGTTCTTAGCTTGTATTGACTGGCAGTATAGAACAGACGCAATAACATAATACACAGAAAAACTTAGAAGTACTATTCTGTTAGAGATAAAATAATGCAAATGAACACAGGAACTTTTACCAATTTAGTTGGTAAAAGTATGTACCACATATATAACTATAGCTACAGTTTCACTGAAAAAAAAGAAGTAATCCACATAGTCAGCCTGTAAATTTTCTCAAAGTAGAGGTTGGCTACAAATGTTGGGGAGTGCTGTGTTCGTGTAGCTATTTTTGTGCTCTACTCTTTAGGAGACACTAATAACAAAACTACCTCAGACTCCATTCATTTGTACAGCAGTTAAATTGGAGAAGGAGTTAAGAGTTAATAGGAGGAGGATCGAACCACGGCTCATATTGACACAGCACAAGGCAGTCCCACAAAATGAGCACTAGTGCTGTTTGGTGGATCCCATTGCCATTTTAAAACAGGGAATAATATTCTGTCAGTCTCCAAGCAGTTTTATCAACAGGCATAAATAAAATACAAAAGTCACTAAGAGAGACAAGCTCACAAGATAAAGAAAATATAAACCATGACAGAGGAAGTTTAACATGCAGTTTCCTTGTTACCTTGCACCGTAAGGAAGACTGATGCTGTGGTAGATCCACCCTCATTAGAAGCGATGCAGTTGTACTTGCCAGCATCCGTGAGCTTTACAGTCTTCACCTCTAAAGACAGGTTGCTCATCATCCTAATTCGCAGGGGCTCCTTAAGCCTCACATCCCTGCCGTTTCTCTGCCAGGTGAGATTGTAGCGCACTGTGCTTAAAATCAGGCAGGTCAAGATGGCTCCTTCACCAGGGACAACCGTGACGTTATTAGGAACCTGAATCATGGGTGGAGGCTCTGCGTAAAAAGAACAGAATAAAGAACAAAATTATAAGAGAAAAAGATTTGGGAACCTTTGCTTCATTTCTGGATTCTTGATAAACAACTTCAAGTCAACTATAGTGTAAAAAAAACCCCGAAATTAAAAAAAATAATGTAATATTGGTTTAACATTTAGTTTCATTTCACATTGCTGAAGCCATGAAACAGAACCCAGGGCAGCATCCTCGTTCCCTGATGCTAAGCTACCTGACAGGAGCTTACATCACAAGAACACACCTGATTTAGGTCCAAACTATCTGTCCTGGTTTTGGCTGTCTGACCTCTGACTGAGGTGTGACCACACATGGAACCTGAGCTACGCACTAGATTTTTACAGGCTTGTTTATGAAAAAGACACGTTACTAGCAAGCTCTTCTAATAGCAACAATGAAACCAAGTCAATAGCTGCTCTACGCATCATTATTAAGTTCTTTCCATGACTGTTTCTATACGGGAATGTAGAAGGAGAAAGCATCTGTTCCCTTCAGTTTATCTGATCAAGGACCTCGTCAAATGGGATAAGGAAAAGGGGAGGAAATAAACACAGTATACAGAGACACAGACCTGACAGATGAACAATAGAAGAGACAGTGGCAAGAAACAAAATTCATCATGCTCATTGATGGGCTATCAAGAAGCTACCAGCATCATTTCAAAGAGGAGCCAACCTGGACTTTGCAACTGATAAGGACACAAACCTGGGGGTCCCAGGTATTTGGGGGGGAGATGGAAGCTGTCAAACTATGCAAACTGATAAAGGAATAGGCAGGTGAAATGAATCAGGGAGGAGCAAAGGGGGGAGTAGGCAGAAAGGGGCATAAAAGGGGCCTGTTGCATGTAAAACATCGCCAGTCGGTACTCTTGTCTGACTGAGCCCTGCACCTGATCACCACAGTCTCTCCTGTCTTCTTATTAAACCTTTTTTGAACTCCCTCTGTGTGTAATCTCACTCCCTACCCCTTCCGTGCATGTCCTGCAAGGACTAAGTGCCAGCTACTGAGGGAACCAGTGTGAGCAGACTGGGTGCCAGCTACTGGAGTCAGGCCGGGGGTGTGGGCACCCTGGGCCTGTGGCATCAGCTGCTGGAGGGACTGAGGTCCGAGTACCAGCTACTGGAGCAGGCAAAGATCTCAGGCAATTCTGTACCCCTTCCCCAAACCAGGTTGGGGGGGGGGTACAGTTTGTTAGCAAACTTCCAGGTGGAATAGCTGGCAAGAAGCAGGTAAGAGGGCCCAGGATCTGGGCAGGGGTATGGTGGGGACAGAGGGGCCGTGCCAATCAATACTCCAGGGACCTGCAAATGCGCCCGTGGCTCTAGAGAGCGGTGCGCACGTGCTCTCACTAGTGAGCTTCAATCCTTACCAGCCGGGGAGGAGGAGGGGAATTAGCTGTTCCGTGCTCTATGCAAATCCTATATGTAGCTACTGTGGAAAGCAGCACCTTGTCTGTGGCAGTCTGCGGAGTCGGCTATGTCAGTGTCCTGTGTGTGTCTGTGACACGTGCTCAGCTTCACTACTGACGAGCGTGCAAACAGGAAAGCAGCAGCGTCCACGGGTCTGGGACAGAGACCCACAGGCCCCAGGGCGCACGGGGCTGAGCTCTAGCAGCCAGGCAGGAGGAATTCCTCAGTTGTAAGAGCTGCAGCCACTTACAACATCCCTTAACAGTTTCCACTCACATCTTAGGTAATTTCATTATCTTTTCCTTTCTATTTGTACATATTTTATGTTGTAATTTCCACTATTTGTTATTATTTGTTTTCCACTCTACTCATCTGCACACTTCTATCACACTCCTGGAAGGAAGCTGCTGCAATAATTTCATATTGGAATTAAACTTTGAAACCACAGATGCTTAAAATAGGAGCAGTCATCCTGATCCTTCTTGAGATATCACTGATAAAGGAGGCAACACTTAAGTGTTAGAGAAAGAGAATACACTATGTATCACTTTATGCATTCCCATTAAAAACGTATATAGATATTCCATTTGTTTTTCCCCAGACTGGTTCTTGAAAAAAGAAAGATCTGCAATGAATAATATTCTGAGTGGGATGCTTTAGCAGAAATAAGACAGCTGTAAGAGCAAGACTAAAACTTCATCAGTACACACCAAAAAACAATTATCCTACGAAAAGCAAGGATAACAGAGAATAAAAAAAAAGTCTATATTTATTAAGGGTGAAAGTTACTCCTAAGCTCAGAGCCAGCCATAACTCCTCCTCACTTAAGTCTCATGTGGGGTCTCAGATGAGGTTCACAAGCTTTATGCTAGATCTCTACATAGCAATGAATCACTCATACACTCTGCATGCTGGGTGTGCAGCTCTCCTTCCCTATAAACACTGTCCCCAACAGCAATCGCCCTTATTACCAAAACTGTGTATTTTAACACATGCAGAGGAAAGTCAAGAAAAGCTAGACTTGCTTACTGAGAATGGAGTTTCTCCCCTGCACTTTAGGTTTTGCTTTGTTTGGGAGAAACGACAAATCTTCTAATGCTTTCCATGGGCGTATCACCAAGTATGTTACTTAAAGAAACTTAGAAAAGAGAGAGATGAAGGCCAGTGCAGGACTAAAACCCTCATCTTTTGAATGTCAGTCTGGTGGGGCACGACATCTCTTGGACTACACCAGCCTCTTACCACAATAGTGCACACATAGCAATCCCCCAGCCAAACTCTAAGCTGAATCCCCTGTATTCAGCACTTCAGTTAAGATGCCTGCACAAGCTAACAAGCCATTTGACATTTTAAAGATTTAATACTAGTAAGCCAAAGTCAAACTCAAGTGCTTGCTTTTTCTGAAACTAGAAAATGTTGACACAGTTCCAATACCTTTCACACAGCAGTTGACAAAATGGATTATCTGTGATACACTGTCTGTCAGCTGGGCAAACTAAGAATACTTGAAAAGATTGTTTACTTTGCTTAAAGAAGAAATTTCAAGTAATTTTCTTTCAAGTATTTGTACACAAGGATTTCAAAGCATCTCCCTCACATTAATCCTCTGCATGGCTCAAAACAGAACTGCTCATGTTTACACAGTGAGGCAGTCTCAGTCGATCTCTCATGGCTCTGTAAATGAGAGGATATGGGAATTTTTCCCCTTGTCAGTCTTGACTTTCAAGTGCTACCGATATCACAAGAAAAAAGTTAGGATTCTTTCAGTCTTCTTTTTGAGGAGTAAGATGGTTGCAACTTCCAGACCAAGAATCTTTATACCCACAATTTCTGGGGCAGAACATAACAGCTTCTTGTCCTCCAAAACACAGTTTGAAACAAGCATATGGGAATACCCTATCCACTTGAAGGATTTTCATAGCCAAAACATAAAATAGTGCCCTAGAGCTAGGACTTGGGTAAGTATTGATGTTACTGTTCTATTCTACTCAAGTACTTCGTGTGACTAAAAGGATGTTCCCCTCCTCAAATTTACCACTTGGTGTAAGATGGCTGTTTCTCTACAAACTTTGCCTTGCATGGAATCAATGATATCACACTGGTTTCTTTGGATTTGCTCATACTGCAATGAGAGGAACATCTTTGCCTGGAAAAGAGAAGGTGAAGGGATATACAGTCACCCTCTTCAACTACCGAGTGGGTTGTTTTAGAGAATACAGACTTAGAGTCTTCCCAGGGCACAAAAAAAAAGGATAAGAGTCTGTGGTCATAATACGCAGCAGGGGAAATTCTGACTAGACATGCAAAGTATTTTCCTAGTGGGGGTAATTAAGCACTGAATGCTGCCTGTGGAACTTGGGAAATCTCTATCCTCGGGGAAATTCAAAGTTTGATTGGACAAGTTCCTGAAAAACGCGATCAAGCTTGGAACTTAATTCTGCCTGGAGCTGTGAGTTGGACTAGGTAACTTCCAAAGGTCCCTCCAGCCTAAATTGTTTTCTGATTCTATGATTCATAATACAGGTTAACTAACTTGAATTAGCTACGACAGGAGATAAAAGACAAGACAGCTTCAATTTCAAGCAGTTATATGAAACCCTGTGGCTGAATCCAAACTGCTGTTGTGAGCTCTACTGTCCTCACTGCCACTGTAAGTTAACTGACTCAGCTCCAGTGTTTTCCCTAGTCAAGAGCAATAGCTTACACTTCTGCATGACAGATGTCTGATCAACACAAACAGAAGGCTATACAGGACAGATTTTTGTTTCAAAACAGAAATTATTTTCCCTTTCCTTCAGACTGCATTGCAACTGTGAAAAATTAAGTCACAAAATTTGCTATAGTATGGACATGGTTCTTATCCACCCACGCACATGCATAAATAAGCTTTTCTTAATTTTTCCTGCAGGTCACCTTCCTGCAGAAGACCTCTACTGTCTGCTGAAGCAGTTCAAGACCATGCCTGGTTTTATGTTTTCTCCATCTGTGTTTGGGGCTCATCTTGGTTTACAGTTACTTAAACTAAATTCCTCTGATAGAGTAAAAGGATTAACTTTGTGAAGTAAAGCCTGTTGTTTTACTTTGGGAAACATTTCTAGCTGATCTGCAATTGAAACTCTCAACATCATGATCTGCAGGCAATAATCAACGTGTCCCAGCGGTCAGACTGGCAGGTACACAAGCAGCATAGCTTTACATTTGCCTTCACAGAAGACTACTTATACTCTCTCCCTTTCTCCTACTCCAAATGTTTATGTCCAAAGCTTGACCAGGATGATGCTATTCACTTTTCAGGAAGTATTGTCTCTTACCACAACTAACTTTTAGTAGTAATTAATGGGTCAATCATGTAGAGCCCCAAGTACGAACAGGTCATTAACTTACATAGGAAAATTCCCTCTCCCTCAGCAAGTGGAGTATCAGTGCTTTATGCTTTGAAACTGCTTTAACATGTAAGGCACACCAATTCATACTAAATGGATGACCAGATTTATAACTAGTTGTCCTTTAAATTGAGATTTTTATGAAGTTAGGAACATTTTAAATTAAATAAAACAAAAATCAGTGATTATCTATTGGACAGATGATTGCTAGCCATTTTGGGGCTAGCAACCAAATACTACTGTTTATTCAAAATTATATCTTTGTGATTAGCCCGATTTATTCCACCTTTAATTTTACTTCCTTCATCCCAGTTATTCACTTTTAAAAAATTCAAGGTAATAGATGAGAAAAGATTTCCAACAGTTTACTGAATCTCGTTTAAAAAAAAGCAGAAAACTTTCATGCAACTTTTGTAATTCCTCATCTATCAGATAATACATACATACAATCAAGTAAACATACAATTGCTACAGCTTGAAATAAAAATGAGGACAACTGGAATCTGAGATTTCAATTTCTGCTTCTACAGGCCATATCTATTCTGCAAGTCCAACTGATAGTGGGAACTAAATAAAACAAGTCCAATGTTAATATTTAAAACAGGTGTGCTGAATAAACATCAGCACACTTGTGTACATGGATGAAAAAACCCACATTAATTAAAAATATACTTAGAACTGGAAATGTATTTTATTGGCCCCAAGTGCCATTGCTCTCTGTTAAAATGTTCCAGCACAATATATTACCATGCTTCAGCGTCGAAGGATGGACTGCTACCCACCTGACACATCCAGAAACGTCTGTGCACGTCCAGTTCCTGCACTGCTAGTTGCCATACATTCATAAAAGCCTTCATCAGACAAGGAGACCTTGGCAATTTCCCAACTCATACTAGATGATTCTCTGGAGGAAGAAAAGGACATACTCACTAAATTTCTGAAGGAAATCAAGAGGTACAAGAACATGGTTTCCTGACTACAGACATAGGACATCTTCACAATAATTAAGAGGAAAAACAGACCCTCTGATGAATCAAATTGGATCTAGCATTATGGATTTTATTTAAAGAAACGATTTTTATCAGGCTTTTTATAAGTTTTTGCAGAATGTCTCACTTGCACATCTACAAATATGACTTTAACATATGTCAACAGTTGTCACACAATAACCAAAACCACTATATTTGCAGTCATTCACTCTGCTGCTCGTACTCTACTGTTATATTTACTACTTGAGAAGATACCTTTCCTTAATACCGACAAGTTTCTGTGTAGAGCCAGTATGTGATACCAAACCTGCGGCTCTTACTAACAAGGGTAACAAGGGTTCATCCTCCCGGCATGAGCTTCTCAAATTCCCATGTACAGACAGGGGCTACACGTAAAAGAGACCCCATCCTTTACCAGATATAATCTACTTTCCCGCCTCTCTACGCAAATCCACTCTCAGGTTCAAACACTGGAGAGGGCAGCATCCACCCCACTACAAGATGACTACATCCAGGCAGCTCTCTACTTTTTAAACCACAGGGACTACCTCCATCCCAAATATTTACAATCCAGCAAAATGTGAAGTATTGGTATGAAGATGACTCCGGTTTCTGCTCTGCTGGCTGCATCTCTGAACTTATGGTCAGCAATAACTATAATAATCCAATATTCTGCACATTGATTGCCTAGCCATACAAAAATAAACAGCGCAAGACAGAATTGATGGATTAAAGGCTGAATTAATGGATTAAAGGCTGAAAATGGAGGGTGGGATACCAAAGGGATGCAAGCAAGACAGTATAACAGGAATTCAGAAAAATACTTGGAGTTTTTCTGTAAGTCACAGCAAGGGCAAAGCACATAGGCAATAATATGTATCTATCACATGCAATGTTAAAGTCAAGATGAGAATTAAAGTATAACTACATTGACTGGTGGTTACACATGCTTAAAAACACTCTTACGGCTTCTCAGTATTCAAAACCACATTTTGTACAACTAATGGTGCAACAGACACACAGATGATGACATAAATGAGCAAAACAGTGGTTCTGCTGCAGTGTCCCAGTGCTCCCAGTGGCCTGTTGCTATGGCATATAAACAAAGCTGATGAGTGTTAAAATATCTATGATAGATTTGGCAAGTAATCGCCACATTATGGGAAAACACTAAATTAGTGAACCCTTCGTCTCCCTTTTGTTTGTCTGAACAGGTTGATTTATCAACCACTAAAGGATATAGAAAGAAGAGGAAAGAGAGACTTGGAATATGCATGAGAGTTCAACACTGTAGCACCATGAGACAGACAATCCAACTACACCACAAATAAAACCAGTATATAGTGACCTTAAATGACTTCCTACTTATTCTCTCTTACTTCACACTTATTCTAGATAACCTAATATATCATATATAAAATCTATGACATTTTACAGTGCAATGCTGGCAAATGGAAGTGGCAGTAGCTGCCAACACTAAAGAATAAGGTAGTGTTTCTTCCACGTAAAAAGTGAGAAACTTCTCTTTTTCATGGAAAGTATGCTAAAAGTGAAGTTATGCAATCCTATTCTTCTTCATTCCTGACTTTCGCTATACACCAGATATAGAACATGGAAGCCTTGAGAACGGAAGCATAAAAGGAAATGTGTCCAGAGTGGAAAATCTTGGCCAGAGACCTGCGGTGGTCTATTAAAAAAAATTAAATACAACAATAGCAGCAATGAATAATACACACCTCAAGGCATCTGCTGCACACTTTGGCACTGACTCTAAAAAGCAATAACTGCACACAACTTTTTGCAACATGTGTTATTGGGACAACTCAGCACCTTTCATCATCAAGTCATTTATTTACCCAAATCATTTTACAATACATGCAATTTGCTGATCAAGCTGCTTATCTAGTCAGTTTGGAAAATACAAACATACTCCTTTAGCCAAGCTGCAAAATCCAAAGACCAAATCACATCCTGGTTATGAGTTCCTGTAGAAACACTGGCAGAGAGCACAGCGATATTCACGTTGTATCTAACCTCACCTCTTGGTCACCACAAACCACCACGCTCCGTATCACATTTTCACTTGGGAAGTTACCAACAGCAGGCTGCGGCTCACAGGAATGAACTAAAACCTAAGACTCACTCATACCGCACCGGTTAACACATAGTTTGGAGGGATATATTCTGCATGGTTAGCAAATCAGATACTTGACTAACAACCACAAATATTCAGTTGATTCAGAGTGATTTTTTTTTTTAATTATTATTAATTTAATTAACTAAATGGATCACCTTTCTTGTCAGAATTTCACACATTATTTTTGCTGATTCTGCCCTTTGCAGAGTTGGTGGGATCTGCCATTTATAATGCAGAATGGATTTTAAAGACACATTAGTACTCAGTTCCCACTGATTTCCCACTGGAATGAGGTGCTTAACTACTGTTCTTGGTCTCCTAAATCAGACTTGTCAGAAATGAACTAGGATATCAATCAAAATCCAAATTTTCTTACTAGACCACCACAGGATGCAGAAATCTAGAAAAGCAAAGCTGTTGCAATTTTAGAGAAATTTCTTTTTCCTACACATGTTACTCATTTGAAATTAGGAATTATTATTACAGCTGATAGTACCTCTGGAATCAAAGTTTAAAAAAATTTGCAAAGCATGTTCACTTCAAGAACCCTTAACCTATATTCATTCCAATGGTACTTTCACAAAAACATGCTAGAACTCTAAACGATTTACTTTTTGAAATAAGTATTAAAAAAAATTGAGTAAAGATGACATCTTGTCACCAAAACAAACGTCAAACTCATTCAATGCAGAGCAATAATACAGCTCAAATCTGCATGAAACTAGTAAGCTGGACAAATCCTGTATGGAACTTCACTACTAATAAAATGCAGATAAGCCAAATTAGATCCTATTTAACTGTGATCAATAATGTTTGGCTTGAGATATATTTTGTTAAATTAACTTGGATGATCTGTTCATTCATCTGGTCTGTAATACGAAATAGAAAAATGCAAATGCAGCCCAGTCATAAAGGTGCTGGATGTGTGAAAACCAAGGAGTAGAAATGTGTGGTTTGATAACTAAAGAATGGAAAAAATTACACAGCTGCTAAAGTATGTGCCGGGGTTGACTAAATGTAAATGGCACCTCATTAAAAAAAAAAAAAAAAAAAAAGAGCTGCAGCATTTCACACTGCCAACAGCGTACAAGGGAGCTTCAGAATTTATTTATTTTGGTAGTCATGTATTTGCTATTGAATGCTAGAACTCAGCCTTCAGCCTTCTCCTGAAGTGCTTCAGGCTTTACAAGAGGCTAACAGAGCCTAACAGACACTGGTTTCTAGTACATACTTCCCTTTTGCTTTCAACTACCAGAATTACAAGATGGACTTTATGAATATTTTAATTCGTTTAGAATTTTTTTTTTAATTCTTATCTCATTCTACAGAGAAAGAGCATGCAATCCATTTTCTATACAGAAATCTGAAGAGCCTTCTGGTAGATTCAGTAGAAGCTTTCCTCTTCAGAAAATCTCTCAAAACAGGAAAATTTTCTACAGTAGGTCATAGGACATACTTCTAGAGCATCCATGAAAGGCCATTAAAAATAAAGCAAATTAATGTGTGTTACATAATCACCTAATGTATCATTGGGAGGAGAGGGGGAAGGTGAGGGGTGTGTTCCAGAAAAAAAGCTAGTTACCGATCTATTTCACATAACTTTTAAAAATATAAATTAAAAGCATTTGCTTTCTAGACTTTTAGACCCAGCTTATCATAATTTAAGACCACACATTTGAGGGGGATTTTGGCCAGAACCATGTAATCTCATCATCTATACAGAGTGTACACCCTCCTCAAACATGTATATATTATAAATCTCTACAAATAAAATACAGCCTCCCTAATGAATATCACCAAAAATAACACAATGGAAGTAATAGGATATCAGCAGTATATAATAGTAAATAATAAATAGAAATCATAGGACATAAATAGGAAATAAAACAGTATTGGGGGGCGGGGGGGAAGGTCACTACTTACTTGAAGAACTGATCCACTCCTAGTTTTACTCCATTTTTAGTAAACCGCTGAGTAAAAGGTATAAGACTTTCTACGTGGCAAGGAACAGACCCTGGCTGTAAGTAATATCCTGGAGTCTTGGTAGGCATTGTAACTTTTGGAGCATCTGAAGAAAGCAAATATTCCCCAAAAGATTATTAACAGCTACTAACATATATCCTATCTTTTCCTTTTGATAAAAGGAAATTCAATTTCTGATAAAGTTATACTTAGTATATAACAACATTAACTTGTCCATCATAAACTAGAGACAGAACTTTGGAAGGAAACAGCAAAGTCCTCGTGCAAGTTAGAAAAAGATATTAGGTATCAATTTTAACTGATTCAGGTATGACAAATGTACATTCAATTCAAGTTAAAATCTCTTACCAGGAGTAATACTAGAAAATGAAACACTTGAAACTCTCTGAAAAAGATAATCATCCTTGTCATAGCCCGTTATTTTAACAAAAAAAGCTTCTTCTGGTGGAATGAAGTCAGAAATATTCCATAGTCCATAGGGCTTTCTGTCAGGATAGTATTTCACAGGCAAGGTCTTAAGAAGTTCCCCTGTAATACTCAGAAGTTCCAGTCGGTCTACTCTAGCTGGAAGAAAGATCCCTGTGGTATTTAGCAGCACGAAGGTAGGAATCCCTAGAAAAACAGAAACATGCTATTTTAAGTGCTAAAAAAATAAATAATTAAAAAAGAAAAGGTTAAATTCCATATGTATGGCCCTCTACCCCATGAATGCACCATTCAGTTTCAACCCTTACTTACTAAGTATCAAAAAACTAAGTTGTGCTAAGCTGTGCTCTGCTTATTAGCTGTCAGGAGACACAGCACTGATTGGGGTTTAAATTACTGATTTCCAACAGGTGTTGCTGAAATAGCAGCCTCTTTATTAACTCCTCACCATGCCCTAGAGCCAAAGGCTTTTTCTGAAGCTCCAAAAGTAACAAAAACAGAGTTGCAATTTTGAGGCATTTCATAGCTAAAAATATCTGGATTTATGTGACATAAAAAACCAAGCTAATACGAAAAAACACCATAGTACGATAAAACAGGAACATTGGCTGCTCTCACACATTCAGGGCCCAAGAACCAACCAACAGCGGCCCCAGATTTATCACAAAGTTCACCACAGAGATCATCATAGAGTTCTACTTGATTTTGGGGGCCTGAAAACAGTTATTGTTTAGCATGGAATAAAATGGAAACAAACCTTGCACTGGTCTGCTGGATGTTTTTTTAAAGTCTAGCGTTGGCTTCCTAGAAAATCCAGCTCGAAAGTCAATAGTGCTGAGACCTGTGATCCGAACAGAGTGCCTTCCGCTGCTCGAGGTCTGAAAAAGCAACAGAGTGAAAGACCATGTACATAATTAGCATTTCAGGAATTGCAAAGTTTCTGATCCATCCACGGAGTTCAGTAGATAGACTTCAGCTTTCATTAAAAACAAGACAGAAAGGAGGCTTATGTCAAAAGTTGCAAGTAAAAACGCCTCTAATAAAGCTTTACTTTTAGATACTGGACCCTCCAATTTGTCTTGGAGGTAAATTGCAACACAACCGCACAAGATCAACAACTACTTGTCACATGCCAGTGGCTGTAATGGGAGACTGTCTGGAAGTTAGGATTTTGACCATTATAAAGTATATCACAAAATAGTAAATTAAACAAGTCAACAGAAAAATCAGTGTAAAATTTTTGCTGATAATATATATAAACAGTTTACTTCCAGTGCTACAATAATTTATCTTGTCTTTTTATTTATTAGTAAATTCCCTTTTTAAATATACACAAAACTAATTTTACCCATAAGGCACATGCAAACATCATAGCACTGCGTATCATGAAACAAGCGGCAAGTACAGACCAATTTCAGTCAATACTGTATATTAAAGGTTCTTCTCTTTCCCAGCCAAGGCCTCCGTTGGAAAGTAGAGGATGATGCAGAAGCACCTCTCACCTCTATTCTCCTCTACCCACCCCCCCGACCTCGTCATTCTGGTTGAATCGGCAAAAACCAAATCACAAACAACACCCACCCACCCCTGAAAAGCCTTAGCTTTATGTTGTTTGAGGGTACAGTAGCTTTTGTGCTAGTCCTCAATCCTACAATTGTTTTGATTTTTCTTCTTCAAGTTACTTTCTATCATTCTACGCTGAGAAAGGAAGGCACAACTGCTACTTGCCAAGAGTGCACAAGAACCCAAGGCTTTTTGTCCTCACCTACTTCCACACCACTCAGGTGTTAGAAAAACAAAGCAAAACAAAACATAAACCCCACTCCTGTACTGCACTGAGTATGGAATTAGATTTTTACAGACTTAACAGTGACAAACCCATGGACAATTTCAACGAGAACAGCAGGAAAAAATAAAGATTCAAAAGGCTGTGAAGAGTGATATCTAAGCTATATTATGCCCAGATCAAATCCGCAGTTAGTAGAACCTACTCTGAGTTTTTGTTCGGGGAGACAATACAGCACACAAGACTTGCAATGTGAAAGAAAATCAGTATTAAAATGAAATAATTCCACTGAGCTTTATCTGTCTAGAGAGTATTATCTGATCCATTCTCAAATACATAATTCCTTCAGGTTAGTAACCACCTCTGATAAAGCTGCATGTGAGTATTAAACAGTTGTTTCTTATAACTAACTGCCTAGGGACAGCCATTTAGACACTATGACAAATGGATGTCTATCTGATTAAAACAACCTCTATTTGCTTCTATTTGGTTAGCCTTTCACCTCAGAAAAATCACTACTAAAGCTTTTTTTAATATAAACCAGCTGTTGACAATACAAAAAAATATTTAAGTGTGCCAAACAACTCATGTTATCAAGCGTTAATTGGCATTTAAAATTTCATTAGACAAACTCAGCGACAAAGTTTTCTTTTTATAGCTTTATGCATGCGTATAAGGAATTTATGCTGTGAATAAACTTTTCACAAAGTTTTTTTTAAGTCTTTAGTTGCAGCCTTAAAATCTTAGTGCAAACAAGCCAGTGACTAAAGCCAAGTAAACGATCCATACAAAAATACGTTTCTCTTCATGAATTATTTAGACCTTTGGATACTCGTGAATTTTTAAGGCTAGAATAACCTTATAAATTTTTACCATTTACGAGTAACAATAAACACATCTGTCACTGTCATGCCTAGGAGCTGGCAGTCTTATGCAAACACCTAAGAATAAATTTCATCCCAAAGGATTGCTTTCCAATTAGTATCTTTGTCAAGTCTCTTTTCATTATTTCTAGTTTAACATGGATCACTGGTATTGTACATTAGTGTTTCTCCTCCCGGACTGGATAAGTATGATAAAAAGAGCAAACACGTTGTCACAGACGTCAGGAAAAAATGTTTTCCCATCTTGCAAGCACCACAAATAAAATTGCCCAAAATGCATGTATCAATAAACAAATCTATGAAAAAACGCATGGGTTTTTGTAAAACAAACTCTTAATTTTCACGCAACAGAAAAACCAAGCTACAATGGCTAAATACATTTTTAATTGCATGGTTACATATTTACAGTGATGGAGATACGCAGCTGAATTAGGAACACGCTCATTCAGCAGACGTTACTCCAGACTAGTTTGTCACTACACTCCATTGAACCAGCTGCATTTGGCTATACAGGTGTAAGGGAATAACAACAGGCCATTAAAGACCTGTCTCGGTCACAAAAACAGCCAAGTTCTTCTGCTGATTTCTCATTGCTTTTTCTCTCCTTTTCTCAATCACACAGCTGATCATTTAACTCTAGGCAGCAGGGAAGTTTTTGTGGCATTGCTCAGCTGCAAAAGCTATAGCCTATTGATTAATAACAGCACAAAACAGCAGCTGATGGCTTCTCACTCCCACCTCGCCCCCACTGACTCACCTCCATCACTCACTTGCCTTTTCAACTGAAAACACACAGCAGGCAAGCCCTTTAAGGAGTAGTTAGATACAACTGTCTTCTAATGCTGCTGTCCTAGAGCTTGCAGATAACTTATTTGCAAGATGTTGGATGCCTCCCAAACTGCTCCAAAGAAGCCTTTTAAGAGGAGTCGATAGGACAGGTGTTTATGGGAGGGATTTAGCAAAAGCAAACTGATGCCCCCTCTTCTATTAAATGAGTCAGGCTGTTCCTGTTGAGGCCCATCTCTTGGTAGGTATCTCAGTAGTAGGACCAGCAGATAAATTTAGTCTCACAGCTAGCTCAGAGGTGCAGAAAACACATGCAACAGCAGGACCATCTTTCTGCAGAAGCATGCTTCCTTCTGCACAAAACCTGTACTGTTCGCTGGCACGTTATGGAGAGAGGGCCATGTGCTCATCTCATGGCATTGCTCTTTGAAAAGACTCCTGTCACCTTGTAAACCAAGAGTACTCTAGCAGACCTGGAAGGAAAACTTATTTATAAAATACACATACATGCACAGATTTGATGTCCTCATACCGAAGTACCTGAAGGCAACCAGAGGCCTCCTGCAGCACAGGACGCAACTGGATTGCATACTGTGCATTTTATATTACTCAAACCTGTGATTTGAAGATTTCACTGAGCACTGAAACTGCACTAAAACTTGTTTGTGGATTAAGATGGGATCTTCTTGGACTGATCATTCTCTAATTGATTTAGTAGCAGCTAATACTGTTTAGCTCATCGTGATTTGTTATCATACTAAAATGACAACTTTCTGGTGACAAATACCTATATAAACTGATTCCACAAATTTAATTAAGACCTAGTTTGCTCATAAATGTTAAAGTAATTAAAATATTTCAACTATATTCAAGACAATTTTTTTCTTTTTTTTTTTTTTTTTAACAGAAAATACGTAAATTTGAATGTTTTCTTCTCCACAGAATTGGAGACAGCATTATGCTGAGCTTCGAAAAACAAAAACAAAAAACTTAAAAACCCTCACTGCAGGAGCAGCCTGATGCTTTGGCCGGGACTGGTTTGCATCTAGCTGAGCATGCCGGCCTGCTTCCAGCTGAGCCACTTGGCAGTTCGCACCACGCTGAGTGCCAGCCTCAGCTTTAGGAGAGCTTATTAGCTCTGAAGGGTGTTACAGATTGAGCCTGTAAGAGTGGCAAGCTCCTCTCTCAGCAATTCCTGGAATACAGAAATTTGGGCAACACAGTGCAGGCATACACAAGTGGTTCCACATGGCTCAGCTCACAGCTGAAAAGGCAACCGCCATGCAGGGCCAGGGAGAGATCACACAGGGCTTTTGCTTTTTCTGCACTCTTTTTCTCAGTGTTGCAGGGCATTGAATGTTTACTAGACTGCATGCTTAACCTAAAAGACTACAACAAGCTACAGAGTTGAAAAGTTCTCTCAGTACCCAATATGTCTGATGTTACTAAGTCCAGCAGGACCCAAACTTTTTTTTTTTTTTTTTTTTTTTAAAAACAGACCACCAGGGTGTCTCTTTACCAGGTTTTTCAGCATTTCTGGTCCGGGAAGCATAGACAGACATTCAAACAATTCTCCACATTGCTGCTGAGCTCAACATGCTTTTCTAGTTCCAGTTCTGCAGCAGTACCAATAATTTCCTACAGTGCTGTAGGTGAATTAATAATGCTTTTCAAAATACCTCTGCACTTATGGCACAGACAACACACAGCATGCATCCACTCAGCACACCTCATTGTGAACTTGGCTATAAAGGTATCTTACACGGGTGACTTCCCCTCCAAAAATGACAATATAGCATTTACACTTCTAGAATAGAATAGTTCAGCTGAAGGGACCTATACCAGTATGACTGTTTCCACAGCAATTTAGGAAAGCTGGGATCATGCTGCTTTACCTACGTAAAGAACTATACAACAACAAGACAAAGCACGAGTCAGTTTAGGCCACAGTTACACAACAGAGTTGAGAAGATGATGTAAAAAACCTACAGTTCATTGTACCTCCCTTCCTCTCCCCCACTCTAAGCACATATGTCACAACGTGCTTCCCCCCTACGAACCAGCTTAAGGTACAGATTCAACTTTATTTGTTTGAAGATAATCTGTCCACAAAACCTAGTTAAATAGTGCGATTTCTACATAAACAGTTAGGCCTTGCACAGATTTTAAGGTGTGGCAGTGGGGTGTTATTTGTTAGCTAACACATTTCAAGTATTTTGAAACATCAGCATCTAGCCATAAAAACAATGCTGGGGCTAGTTCTTAAGTTTATATAAATACTATCTTATCCATAGCACAATCCTTAAAGTTTTAACATTCCATTCACATTTGGTGCAATTGCATTTTGAACAGTTGATTAAAATGACATAATGAACACATTATAAAACAAAATGATGAATACATACGTTTCCCTAAGTCTAGTCAAGTCTAAGCTTCATCTTCCAGTTTACCGCATTACACTACGAGTGCTCTTGCTCATCCCTTTTCCCTATTATGGTTGCAGGTAGGCAATTTTTGGCCTGAGATACTGTGTTAACTTGAATCTCTGCTAAATTAGGGTTAAGGCTAGTCTAAGCAATCCACTTTCTGTTCCTGATTTACACTTGTTTTACACATACACTTATTGATCTATAAACGGTAAACATTTCAGCTACACTGGCTTCAATTCACAGCTCCCAGCTCTTAGTGTAGCAACAGGTCATAAGTGCTCTTGGAGGTTACTGCATTTATACATCTTGTTCACCACATGCCTTACAACCATGATACGGCACTCACAGGAACACGTGGCCAACAGCAAACATTTAAACTAGCACTGTCAGCCAGAGAAAATCCCGTAGAACCATAGTTCTAAGTGGCCCTTTCATCACTAAGACATTTTGTTCTTTCATTTCAGAAGCAAGTAATGTTAATGTATCATTACCTACGAGCTGGTTGCTTGCTACAGCTCTCAGAACCAGCAGGTATGATTGCTCTTCATCTGTTTCAGTGCACATTGATCGTGCACGGTGTAAGGAGCCCTCAGCCAAACACTCGGGGAACCTTCTTACAGAATGTTGTGGGAGCAGCAACCTTTGGCATAGCGAGCTTGATCAAGATGTCACATTAAGTTGCTACAGCCAGTTCCAAGACGACCATTTCAGCAGAGTCTTAATGACCCTTTCTTGTTTGGTTATTACTGCTAATCACGTCGATCTTAGCTTTTTAACATTTCCAAATCCTTTAGGGTCTATTCTGTAACTGTATGTGCTAGGATAGCACTCACACAAACAAATTTATTTACATACTGTAGTATTCAAATAATTTACTGATAAGGAATTTTAATTAAATGTACATTTATTGACTTTGCAAACCTGCTAATGAAATCTCTGGCCTGCAAAGTGCATACCATCTCCTTCTCCCAGTCCTCCAAATATGCACAGCAAAGCCCCTCCGTGCCCATGCTCTCTACAGACAGAGTATCTGCTTGCTAGACTCCAAAAATTCGGTGCTCACTTCATCCTTTTTCCATGCAAAGATAGGATAACCTAAGGATTTGACTTAAGATAGGAATGTCTTAATATGTTATCATCTTGATAAGAATTTTATACTACTGCCTTCAGAATATGTCAGGAAGGACATTTATTATAACACAAACTCATCTGTGAATATCTATGTTAAAAATAACATAGTAAATCATTATACAACGCCCTTGTAAGCTATAGGACAAGTCATACATGATTTCTGCAAAAACTTTACCTTAATTGTCCACGTTCCAGGCTCTGGATCTTTGACATTTACTACCTTTGCAGAGTTGTGGATATTTAGCAGTTCATTCAGTCCTGATCCTTTACTGATCTGCTTGCCTAAAAAAACAGGGAGTGAATACAGTATTGAATAGAGTATTGCCTAAAAAAACAGAGTAAATACAATATTATTCTTCTGTACTGATGTATTTTTGATATTTGACTTACTCACTACTTAGCAGCCAATGACACTTATAATAGTCAAAATTTCCTGTAATTCTTTGCCAGAATACTAAAAATGCTCATTTATTTTCACTCTTTTTACTCACTTGTGAAATTTAATACAGCCTGCAACAATACAGAGCTGTGGGAAACCCAGAAACTGTAAGCAAAACAAGTTCTCTTCTTCCCAGAAAACACTCAGCTCTCAGTGAAAGGAGGCAGCACAGAAGCAAACTCCTCCAAAGGAGATCTTAGAACAGAGTTACCCTAACCTACCTGCGAGCTGCCAGCCCACTCACTCTTCCATCCTCTAAACCTATTTCAAACATGATAAACTCCACAAGTAAAAATGCTGATAAGCCAGGTTCTCCTGGCAGAGGGGTATTAGCATGACTAAGGGTGGGAATGCATACGAGATCCTCACAGGGAATTTAGCCTGTTAGACATCAATAAAAGAGTGCAAGCTTTCATACTGCACCATACCACATTTTATGTGTACACCTGTGCATACAAATATATGGATGGTTGGATTCAAGAATTGGTTCTCTGTAGAGGCATTTTGCTCCCTCAAGGCTGACTACGAAGTAACATCAGCACTAAAAACACATCTGGCTCTTTCAGAGCACTAAAGGGAACGGTGAAGTTGAGAATGCAATGTCCCAGTGTCAATTTTTAAGACCTTATTAGACATGCCTCGATAACTTCAGTGAAACTATGTGGATTTAGATGCATGGAGCTGACCTATGAGAAAGGAAAACATATAGATGGGGTCAAAGCTTCAGCTAAGCCTGACAGTTGCACCCAGGATTGTGTGTTATCATGGTTTGAAGAGAGACACTGAGCAAATTTCTTTCCTGTAAACAAAGAAGAAAGCCTCAGTGGAGGACAGACCAGATTATATTGCAGGGAACCCATCCTGTGCATAAAATATTTCCAAGATACTAAAGCTTAAGCTATATCCTTAGCCAAAAAGTCATTCAGAGAATACAAAGTATGATCTGAATTTATTTCTAGAGTGCTGTTCCAGGTTCCTAAGGCATCAACATAACAATGAACAGTAGATTTGTTCAAAATATCTTCAATTATAAATTAGCATCCAAATCTGTCATTGCATTCCCCATCACACACTGTTCAGCTAGAGATGGGCAATGAGACAGGGTTTGATCCTGAATGCTGTCATAGTTTGAAAAATCCAGACCTTGGTTTACCTTTCACCACATAAAAAACAACCATCATGTATAACCCCGAAATGATGGTTCAGTGACTACATAAATACATGAAAAACAAAAGTGTCCAGAAATTTAGAATGCAAGGACAAACAGTAAGAAAGTAGATGGAGGTGAGATGAAGTGGTCAGAATAGGGAGGATTTCCAGTTTCCTTTGAGCCAAAAAAATGGTACATTGGGAACAATTAAATATCAGAAGAGCATATATCCAAAGATCCTGTATTTTAAAAACAAAATAAAATTTTAAAATATCCTGAAATCCTGATACTGGTTTTCAAAATGTGACAGACATTTGTGAATCACAAATACAGCCTTCCCTATTGGAGACAGTACAGACAATTTGTCTTTTTTATTCACTTTTTTTGCTATAACAAAAGAAGGTATAAACTATTTCACCTAATGGATCATGAATTTCAATTGCTGGTGAAGGACCACTTAAGGACACCGTAACCTCTTTCAGACTCGGATCAAAAGGGATCTGCCAAGTATTTACAGCCATGGTTAAATGGTCTGTAGACAGGAGATGCACTTTGGAGGCTTGAACTGCTTCTTCAACCCATTTCAACACCTAGAAGAGAAAATAACAGTTGTTATTATACTGTCAACAGTATTTGCTGTTGAAATATTTTCTGCTGAAATACTGTCTCTGCTGTCTTGTAGAGAATCCGTTTTAACTTCCATTACAATAGAAGACCACTACTTTCATCTATGATCCTATTGTCTGATGACACACAGCTACCACATCACCCTGAGCAAACACAGTGGTACAGGTCTTACCTCATACAATCACCCAACACATCCATTTCAACAAAGATATTCTGGAGACAGCACAAACAAGATTTCAACACACAAGAGCACAGGAATACAGAAAGAAAAGAAGACAGCATGCCAGGGATATACAGGAAACAAAGCACCAACATCAAAGCAAAGTTATGCTTCAACTTCTACTGTTCAATGTAAGAATCAATATACATGATATGACAAAACAGACAGCCTGGAAAAACAGGGACCAAAACTATGTTGCCTTACCAGTGCAGTTATCAACTCTGAAGTGAAAGCCTTATCTGCCACATTAGGGCAAATATATTTTTAAAAATATTAATACTTAAAAGACATGCAACTTTAATAGAAGATACTACTGAAGACATGATCAACATGATGTTTAAAGGAGTACAGAAACAGGACTTGGATACACCTTTACACAACATCCACATGTACACTTCTAAAAAGGAATTAGGGATGCAAATCTATGCATATTTCTGGTCATCAACTAACTATTAATTGCCTGACGCAAGAAGGAAAATTCCCTCACCCAAATGAGTAATTGCCATCTATGGACTTTTTCAAATTTTTTTCCTTAAAACACTTAAAACAAATTACTATTAGGCGCAGCATACAGGTCGGAATAGAGGGGAACAATGCTTTAGGAGAGAAATTCTTGTGACTAAAACCAAATTTGTGCCTTACAGAATTATAGTCCTTAAACATTTTCAATTAATGATTATCAAATTTAAAGGGAAAAAAAAAAAAAAAAAAGAGCAAAGCAAGGTCTCCGTTATCCCCCATTTCAAGGGAAAATAACAAAGGTAGCCAAAACCCAGAGAGAGTCTAGGGCCTCACTCTTTCAACTACTACTAACTCTGGAGCTGAGCACCATCAGATGACCCAGCACCAATAACCTGACCCCGACTGACAGCAGTGGGGTCATGCAAGTGATGCCAGATTTCCCACAGCACATCATACAGGGTTTACCTCACATTTGTGGTAGGCAAGAGGAGATGAGATTCTATTTTGTCCAAGCATAAAATTAGAATAACACAGGCAGATGACTCTACTATAAAATTTGTTCATAGAACCCGATTTATCCACGTATTTGGTCTCAGTGGCAAGGTGTTGGCAGCGGGGCGGCCTCTGTGAGAGGAGACCAGGGGCCGCCCCATGCCGGACACAGCCGGTCCCAGCCGGTTCTGCAGCAGCCCCACCGCAGCCACAGCTGAGCCCCTCAGCCACGCCGGTGGCACCGCTGTGTACACGTATTTAAGAAAGGGCGAAACGCTGCCTAGGCAGTGAGGGGAAAAAAGTGTGAGAAACAGCCCTGCAGTACCCAGGCGAGAGAAGGAGGGGAGGCGGTGCTGCAGGTGCCAGAGCAGAGATCTCCCTGCAGCCTGAGGGGACAGCGGGTGGAGCAGGTATTTCCCTGGAGGACTCCACACCAGAGCAGATTTTTCCTGACAGGACTGCAGCCCGTGGGAAAGACCACAGTGAAGGAGAGGAAGAGTGTGAGGCAGAAGGAGCGGCAGAGAGGAACCCCTACGTACTGACCATAACCCCCATCCCGCTGTGGCACTGGGGGGAGTGAAGTTGAGCTTGGGAAAAGGGGGAGGAAAGGTGTTCATACTTGTCTTTGTTTCCCACTACCTGAGTGAGTAATTAAATATCTATTTTAATCGGCAACAAATTAATTTTCCTGAAGTCTAGTTTGCTTTGCCCTCAACAGTGATTGGTAAGCCATCTCCCTGTCTTTATCTTGACCCAGAAGCTTTATCACCCCATTCCTCCTATTTTCTGCGCCTGCCCGGAGCAAGCGAGCAGCTGAATGGGAGCCCGGCTGCTAGCCAAGGCTAACCCACCACAATCAAAAAACCCAACCTCCCCTAAAAAAACAACTGGCCTGTCAAAATAAATTATACTACATCAGCTCTGTACATCACAGAGCTGCAGCATTTTTTTTTTTCTAACCCCATTGAAGCAATATCAGTTTCATATAACATTGTGAATGATTCACAGTAATATTGAACCATGATTTTAGGTTACAGTTAACCATGGCTGCATTCAGAAACATCTTTTAAAGGAGATTTCGATTATGCCAGTTCAACTGGTCAGTGCACAAGACTTGGAAATCAACAATAAACTAACCTGGGCATGTCATCCGTCAGCAACGGAGGGCTCAAGAGTAAGTCCTTAGCTCTACGACCCGATTCAACACACCAGCCCAAAAGAGCCTCATTTCCTTGGTTTGTTGGGCATAATTTGCATACTTTTTCCATTTAAAAAATGGGTTTACCATAGGTTTCGGTGTGAGATAACTGTGTGATAGAAACTAGATTCCAGCCTGATTTAAATTAAAGTGTATTTGTTCTTATATTTTATGCTATGAATGCCCAGCAATCTTTGCATCTTTGTGCAAATGTGAAAGACATTTAAATAAGTGAAGGGCATAATCCAAAAAGCATTTGAAATGGTGGGGGCATGTTTTCATAAATCATTATCCCTCCACTATTAGTAATGCCTCACCTGAGACACACTGAATGCTCTCAGTGCAACGTGAAGTGAAACAGCATTGACCATGTAACAACGGTGTCGCGTGCCCTCTACACAAGGGTCTGCACAAGCAAGGTACTTAGGCATACTTTAAAAAGAATGCACAAAAATCACAGTAAAACTAACTATACTACTCAAAACCCCTGAAGTAACGTGACCCAAGAGAGAAATACGATTTCTGCAATAGCTAGTGACACCATCTATTCAGCAACTCTGTTTACTTTAGATGAGCTGTTGAATGCTGGAACAGGAATCACAAGGCTTCAAAAAGATCCAGCTAGCTTTAAGTTTTACCTTTAGAAATTATACATTTGGGTCCAAAAATGCTTCCAAAAGAAACTTCAATCTGCTCTACTCACATTATATTGAGATGAGTATGCCACTTTTTTGTACCAGGTATATGGAAAGCTTTCCATTTAATTCCAGGATCTTAACTCCACAGGTAAGTTTTTAAACAAATTGTAAAATGTAATGAACCTTTATATGAATTTTCAGAAGAAAGGAATTTTCCAGTCTTGCTTAAACTCCTTTCAAGAGACTTAAGCAAAATAGATCAAGTCACAAGGTAAAGCACTGCTGCAGGAGCTTTGCCAATATATATAAGAATTGGAATCACATTGGTATTTATACCCAAGATTCCTTCTTAAGCTCAGAAGGGTTAATATTACGTACCTGAAAATTTGGTAAAATGACATTGTAGCATATATGATGTAACATAGATATGAGGGGAAACAACTCTTATTCCCAAATTACTTTAAAAAAAAAAAATTAGGTAACGTGCTTCTTCCTGAGCAGCAACCACAGCAACCGGCAGGGTGGAGATGGCAACCCACCCATCCAGCACTCCTGAACCAGTTCTGTGCTTACTGCTCATGCTTGGAAAGAGTTAGAAGATCCAAGCCTTCAGTGGCTTAGCTCACTCTCATACTCTAGCCTCATGAGAGAAGATTCTCTATAATTTGTTCAGTTTTCTATTAAAACCATTATTTCACAGTGAAAATAAGTCAAATAGAAAACACAGATGGAAAGAACACACAATGCCACCTAGGTCAATCTGTAAGCTATACTAAAGCTTACAAACCATCTCTCCACAGTATAAACCAACACAAGATATCTGTTCAAGATCGCTCTAACCCGTTTCTGCATTGAATGAGAGTGATTTAAGTTTGTTAGAATTATAATGATAAAATTACTAATTGAGAGCATACATGCATACATGATCCCAGTGATCTCAAAGCACTTTGACAGCAACCACAACAAGGAAAATGCATCTTGAAAGCAGATTACTGGCAATGACACTATTCCAGCAGCTCTTACCAAAAGATATAAAGCAATGTCTAACAGCAGTCATGCTGATTATAAAATCCACCTGGAGCCAAGTTATCATCTTGCCATTGGTTACTTCCTTGGGGTACTCAGGTTTTAGATGTCATTTTTTATATGTTGTAGTTCACGAGTACAGGCACATGAAGGAATTGTTTCTGAGGTGAAACCATCATAAAGAGTTCCTCTCTCTTCCCTCCTTTCAACTGCTTGTTCTCCTTCCTAAAGTTCACTGCTCCTACTTATCTGTTTCTGGGGTCGTGTTGCAAGCCAGATCATTAGAGTCATAGAATCATTAAAATTATCTGGATTGAAAACAACCCAAAGAGGGAGAAAATGTCTTAAACCACAGTCACCAAACACCCACAGCACACAACTTCAGCAAAAGAAGTTAAGACACATTCTTCCAGCTTTGAAACCTTTTTTTGGTGTTTGTTGTGGGGTTTTTTTTCCTAATTATATCTCTTAGTCTACTACATCATATTAATTCCCTTTACAACAAATCTCGCTTTCATACACCATAGTTTACTTCAAGCCACTGCAGGACCACATTACTTCTACAAACTTGGGAGGCAAGTGGGAAGGCTCTCCAGTGGGAAGTTTACCAGCATGCAACCATTTATTTCAAAACAAAAATCTAATCAAAACAAATACTTTTATGAGCCCCAGATATGCTTTTTGGCAGATAGGAGAGCTGAGCCGTGGAAATTGTTCCAAAAGCTCACTTTCTTTCAAAGGTAAATTATACCTTGTAGCCTACCACTGGAAACACAAGCAACAGTTATTTAATGATGCACAGCAGTCTAGTGTACTTTAAGAGAAGAATAAAGAACACTTTCAAATTAGAAAAGGAATTTTTCAGTAAAGAAAGTGAAGTGAATCCAATCCTCTTCTACTCCTTTCCCCTGTCAATGACAAAAAAGG